TGTATATATATATATATATATATATATATATATATATATATATATATATATATATATATATAAAACGGATGTTTGTTTGTTTTTGTTTTTTTGTTTTTTTTATATCTTACAAATTACCAGATGTTTATTGTAGTTATGCATCCTTTTATAATAGTATTTTTATACATAAGTAATAATAATTGCAGAGTACTTTGAAAGGTAAGGTCAAAATACCTAAACACTTTGTGACACAACAATAATTACACATTGCAAACAGTCCTAAAAAGGCTTAATTTTTAAAGTATGAAAATGATCGTATTTAAGTGGGTGTTGCTTCATTTTATTCTTCTGTCTGTCTGGCAGTGGAAGAGGAAGGCGTCACTCCAGTGAAGCGCCGGCGGGTGAGCAGCAGTGCTGAGGATCGGCCGGCAGACAGCGTTTGCCCGCCATCTACTTCCTCCTCATTGGCTCCCTGCTTGGAGCAGAAGGCGGAGCCAGGGGAGGCGTTTACGCCAACCAGCACTTCGGACACTGAAACCCGAGACTCCTCCCTCATCGACCCAGGAGTGGAAAACGACCCGCCCTCTCCCGACAGTGCGTCCCTCGAGGAGAAGAAAATGGAAGTTTCTTCGTCATCCTCATCCTCATCTTCGTCATCATCCTCCTCCTTTCCCGAAGCGTTCGGCCGAACGGACGAACCTCCACCGCAGATAGCTGGAAGAGAGGAGGAGGAAGAGGAGGATGGGCGGAAGGAAACGCAAGAGCAGGAGGCGGAGCCAGAGCGAGAGGAAGTGCCCTCCACTTCCTCCTCCTCTGCAGACTCGGTGCTTTTACTCTCCAGCCTGCCGGATTCTGCCGAGGGGCGGAGCTGCTCGCTCCAGGAGGCGGAGTCAGGCGGATGTGGCCACGCCCCCGTGCAGGATGCTCTGGAGATGCTGTCGCGCACAGTTGAGGCCACTATCGCTGTGGTTGCCAAACTTTCGAACGGGAAAGGAGGGACACGCCCCTCGGCTTTGTGACGTTACTTTCACGTCGCTCCTTTTTCCGCATTTCACGTTTTTTCGTTCGCCATGCTGTTCAGATTTGTCTTTTTACGAATAATTGAAGTCCAACTTTTTTTTCCTTTTCCCGCCGTTTGGCCTCGCTCTTCATCTGTTTCGTGTTGCAACACAAAAAGTTCTGTTTCCGGGTTCCAGAAAACTGAGCTCCGCATTAATTGAACAGAATGAAAAACCAACTGGAGCGTCTTTTTTTTCAAAGGGCAGGTTTTTTCTTTTTTAAACCGTGATTTTGTTGGTTTCTTTGTTTTGAAGTGGTTTGTTTTCGAGGCTGCAGTGAAACAGGGAAAAGGTTTACAACGTTTTAGTCCCGTCAGTGCATAATGTAATTTGCGTTTTTATTCACGTGTATTATTTTTATTATCACGATTGTCTTCTGTGCCAGTTTTGTACTTACACGTGTGAGGCTGAGACGGCCTTGCTGTGTTTTTTTTCTCTGTGGTGGATATCAAAAACTATGTTTACTTTGTATATTGAAAAGAAAGAACGAACCACAAGAACCTTGATTCTGTAAAGAATCTTCTAGATGTTGCCTGGCTTTGTAAATGAGATGGTTTATATATATATATATATATATATATATATATATATATATATATATATATATATATATATATATATTTCTGTAAGATATATGTATACAGTATATATCCATTCAAGTGCAGTATACTGTATATATAAATCTACTGTGTATATATATATATACCTACGTTGTGTATATAGAAACTTACGGTGCTCTTTTCAGGCTCAGAACATTTGTGGCTGGAATATTGCACATTTGATGGAACAGTTGGAGCTCTATTTTATTTACCGAAATACATTCCATAATCTATTGGATGTCATTCTTCTCGTTCTCTGTATTTGATTTCTCTCTCAGTCTTTCTGTTTTGATTTATTTTAATATAGGATATAACTTAATAAAATTTTAATATGATTTAATTATGAATCGAGTCCAAAAAAGCAAGTTGTGGGCTGATTATTTTATTTAATTTTTTTTTCCCCCCCCTTTCTGTTGTGAGTGTAACTAGTGGCTAAGATGGCTGTGTTCAGAATAGAATACATAGCGTACAATATACAATAGTGAACACCGCATACTTCCTTTTTTTTTCTGTAAATGCAACAATAAACATTTCAAATGTTAATGTGCTGCATTGTTTACCAGAAACATTTAACATTTCAGAAATACTACAGATTTTTATATTTTTAATGCATTAAAAAAATTTTTTTTTATTTTTTTGTACAAATGCCTCAACGTTTGACTTTCAATTCAGATGAGTCTAAAAATATTTGCATATGCAACTGTTGTCAACAAAAATGTAAGTGTACAAAAAAATGTTGTGTACAAAAAGTAGTAGTGTGCTAGTATGCTTTTCTGAGCACAGCCCAAAGCACAAACTGGTTTAAAGGGTGCTAAAACTCAAACTCATCAAAACTCTTAAAGCCTCAGCTGTGGATTGTCCTTTGATAAATATACACGTCCACAATGGTTAAGAAACATATTCAAAAAGTTTAATCATTCTAAAAAGGTATTTACATCATCAAAGATACAAATTAAACGTGTTTTGATACACAATTGTAGCTGAGCCGGTTAAAGTGCAAAAGCCTACTGTTATTTGTATGCAGGTTTTGGGATGTCCGAATCCCTTTGTAAAAGACCACGTGGAAAATCAAAATGCAAGGCAGTTGAATGTACATATTACTTAAAAGAAAGGAAAACATGTATACAAAGGAGATTTTTTGCTCTTTTCTAAAAACAGGTGAGTTTAAGACCGCAGCGTAACTGAAATGAAACCTAGAAGTGATTGATGGTGCAAATGCTACATAGGCAGCAAGCATAAAATGTGTATAATATAGTAGTATATAGTATATTTATAGTCAACATTTCTCTCTGTCTTGTCACAATGCATTATGGGATTTGCTTGTATCTTTTGGAATTGCCTTAAAATGCGACTCACTATATTATGGAACAGAGCTTTAATAGTGTGTCAGAATTCATTTGAAAACTCATGAACTCTTATAATGACAAGTATTGAGGATCTTTTATCCATTGGGATGTTTTCAGAAGGCAGAGATGCTGCTTCCATTTCTCAAATCTGCGTCATTTTCGGAATATCTTTCAAACTCGCGTGTGTTACTGAACTCAACCTGAAAAACAAAATTTGAAATATGTATTTGTAAATGCAAACTTTTTAAATTCAGTAACAGAATATTGACTGAATTGTACGTATGAACTGAGTGCTTTACCTCTTTGGCTTCTTCTTTTTTGCTGTCAACAGAAGAAACGTGTTTAGTCAAACATCTCAGAACACATTTTGTATTTGAGATCAAATTTTTAAAAAGTGTGAGTGCATCTTTGACAATATTGTGGTGTTTACCTGGAAAAGTTAAGACCATTGTCAATGCTTGATCTGTTCTGTATTCCGCCAATATTGAAGCTCTCTTTGTCAGAATCTGTGTCCTTCATTTTCTTATTCCTGAGGCAGCAAAAATAATGTATTATATAAATACTTAGCCATTTTTCCACTTGAAAAAAGTTTACCCCTAAAAAAATTTGTAGTCATTTTGAAAAATGTGCAAGGAAAAATGGCCACTAATAATTTACCTAACGAGATTGACAGTTGTCAGAGCGATAATTCCCACAATGCACATAGCCAGCAGAACACTGAGAGCAATAAGTACTGCTTCGCTGGAATCTTCAGAACTGTTTCCAGAACCATCCTCCACTTTGAATTCCAAATCGGAACCAAACACCTTCTCCAGTTCCACTTTTAAAGCTTCATGATTACTCTGCAGTTTCCTGTGGGACACAATTCAGATCCCTCAAACTCGCATTTTGTAAACGGCATAGACTTGTGCAACAATGGAAACCTAGTAGGGTTTAAAAGCAAAAAAGTGAAATAATTTATGAATGTATTGCATTTCTAACTTACTCTTTGACCACCGTTGCTTCAATGACGGCACCACTGGTATCCATCGCAATGAAGCTGATGTAAGTCTTGGCTGTAGACTCTCGGAGAATGGTGCGCATCTCAATCCCATCCTTAGCTCTCACACTGAGGATTTTCACATTCAAACCTAAAGCTTTCTTCATGGAACTGAGAAAAAAACACCAATGAAACATTCAGTTTGATTTGTCAACTGCAACAAGTTTATTAAAAAGAACCAACTCAAAAAGAACGATTCATTCAAGTTTGGAAACATGCATAATATGGACTATATAATGGTGTCTTTTTTGAAGCTTGATAGTCCAATGGTCAATGTGAATTTAACAAAAAAAAAACTTTCCATTTGTCTTGGAGTGAAAAGTCAGCCACATCAGGTTTGGAATTACATAAGGGTGATTAAATAGTGACAAAATGGGTGAACAATTTGGACGAACATACTTTCTTTTCTCAAAACACAAATTGCAATGATTAAACTTCCCTTCTGTCCCCATGCAAAGTAAGCTGAGAAATGGCAATTCTACTCACTCTTCAATCTCTGGTATCTTTTTCTCCACTGTGAACAAAGCCTGGTTTAGAGAGATGACCACAACGTTGTCACTTTCGCTGTCTTTCACTATGATCTGTAGGTGGAAAACATGAGAGCTTGTTTTGATCTTTTGAATTTTCAAAAGATGGAATTCTCCATCACAATGCCTTTGGTCATTTGAAAAAGCCTTGCAAAAGCTTTTCCCTGTTGTCTCTCTTTCTTCTCACCTGTACTGTTGCAGTTGTGGACAGTCCATGTTTATCCGTGGCTTTAACGTCTATGGGAAACAGACCGTCTCCGACACTAGATGCATCCTGTACATAGATTTGACCAGTGTTTGCCTCTACTTCCACCAGAGATGTGGACTTCACCAGGGAATACTGCAATTCTGAGCTCTCGCCCACATCTGGGTCTGATGCCTGAGGGGCGCATGACATTTCAACCACTTAGTAACCCCGAAAAATACTTGATTAGCTACAATTAGCAACTTCTCTAGGCTATTACTTATATACAGTTCTGTGTTCTAGGTATTTCCATTTTGCAAGGGTCTTCAAGGAAGTTACTATAGCATTAGCAATGCGGTTGCTAAGATGTTCTCTTTGGTTGCTAGGTGTTTGCTTTCTGGCCTGAGTCAAAAGAGCCCACCCACAAGTCTCTATGATATTCTAGTCTCTAGATATATTTCCAGTGTACCTTGGCAAATGGCAAAATGAATCTGAGTACATCCATTGCATTTACAACTGATGTCTATGCCCTCTTTTGTAAAGCACCAGCCACCTCTGAGATTCACTTACCTGGACCTTCACTATAGGGAATTTGTATGGAGTGATAGTGAAAATTTCCGCCTCATATATTTCAGTCTCAAACACAGGAGCCTCATTCACGTTCTCAACCTGAATGCTGACCTGAAAGATAAGAGAGAGAGAAAGTCGAATGCTAATATATCTGAGCCCCGTGCCCACTTTTTTTTTTTTTTTTAGAGAAACTTTGGTTTTAACATGTTGGAACATCAAGACTTGGGTCCAAAACACATTCTTCTCAAGTATGTGAACACAAGCATTTCTAGTTAAACAAATGTATCATTACATTCTTAAATTTAATTTATTCGCAATTTGCTACAAATGTTCTTTGTGCATTCTCTGTGTTGCATTAAGAGGTGCAATGTTCTTAAAGGACAACTACTCTGCAGGTTTTAGCTATCCACCATTGGTGTTTGCAAACGTGTGTAGAGTTTGTTTCTGGCCTTGTTTGTAGTTGAATAGTACCATTGTCTCTGCAGTGTTTGGAGGAGTTCTGGAGTCTATGGCCTCTACTGTGAGGATGTACCACTCCTCTTCCTCCTTGTCCAGTGGTCTGAGAGCTTTTATGATTCCCTCACCATCCACAGAGAAGACATCTTCGTGTGACTTCATGTTATAGCTGACTGTAACCAGTGGATTCCCTGTTAATGCCTTGACCTCCCCGACTATCGTGGCCTCAGGTTCGTTCTCCTTAATTACGAAGTTGTAGGAGGAGCTCTCAAAAGTCACACTCTCAGTGAGAGCGGCAATTTTGAAGTTAATCAAGACTTCAGCTACAGAGAGAAGAAAGATGTTAGTTTTGACACGTTCATCGGATTAGATTTGAATACTGAGGGGAAATTAACTTTTTATTTGCAAACGTTATTTGCATTCGTTTGACTTTTACATTAAATGTTCCCTCCTGGTGGAATGACCAGCACAACTCAATCCAAGTTCTTAGCCATCTTCAAGAATTGGCTAAAAACACATCTCTTCCATCTGTATTTGACCCTCTAACTCTAGCACTCTCTATTCTAATTCTATTATTTTTATTTATCATACAATTAACAAAAGCAAAAAGGCCTCGAACACTAGCTTTCACTATTCTTTTTCTATTCTATCGGTTTTCTTTTTATTTATATAATTTAAAATAAAAAAAACCTTGCTACGTGTACTGCGTTAAACTAACTGAGACTTGTTATAGCACTTGCTATCATTGCTCTTTTGTTGATTTTGATCGCTTCCATTGTCCTCATTTGTAAGTCCCTTTGGATAAAAGCTTCTGCTAAATGACTAAATGCATTCACAATGAATTCAATTCAAAGGAACTATGCAAACCAGAACCAAACCTTCATCAGACTGTGCTGGTGTTCCATGATCTGTCGCAATAGCAGTCAGGGTTAGCAGCATGTCTTCTGTGACCTCACTAAGGTCAGAGGTCAAAGTAATGTCTCCTGTTTCAGCGTCCAGTGCAACCATGGGAGAGTCTTCAGAGAAACTACAGAAAGACAACATTCATGCATCCATCTTAAAAAGGTGTCATGTAGGTAAGTGTGTTTTTATGATTAATCCTTAAAGAGTTTAACTTTTCTAAATGGAAGCCTAGTTATAAGTATGAAAGTCTTGCGCTGTACCTGTAGCTAATGATTGCGTTGGATCCGGCATCTTTATCTGTGGCAGAGACTGTCAGCAGCAACTTTCCAACCTTGGCGTCTTTAATCAGAATGCTTCTGCTGTAAGTGTCAGAGCTGAAGACTGGAGCGTTGTCATTGACGTCTGTGATACTGACCCTCACTGTGGTGATGTTCTGCAGAAAAATAAACACAAGCAATCCTTTGTAGTACAGACCAAAAGCCCATATTTGCAATGTCTAGTATCAAACTTAAGGATTGTAATTAGTCAAATCTGGAGGTTTGAATATTGAAACAAAGTTGGATTCACAGCGCAATGTCTTAATCGATAGCAGCTTAGACTGGTTGATCATCTGTGCAACATAAAAAACTACTACCTGGAGTTTGCTTTACATGTCATTTAGAGATGGAAAAATATTAAATTTGATGTAAATTTACAGCAGTAAGTAGTCAACCCTGTTCCTGGAGGGCTGCCATTCCCCAGAATTTAGCTCCAACCCTAATCAAACACGCTTGAACCAGTTAATCAAGGTGCTCATGATTACTTGAAAACAACAGCCAAGTGTGTTGGAACAAGGCTGGAACTAAAGTCTAGGAAAGCAGAGGCAGATTGTTACCCCTAGTCTGTGTTGTCCAAGTTGCATGCTACTAAGTGCCTCAAACAAAACTCAAGGGAAGTGTTTCAAAGATTTGATTTTCATGAACTCTGGGAAAACTATTTTATCCTTCAAGCATGTCTTGTATCATGGCGGACAGGTAAAAATAAAATTACATGCTGACTCCTTTGTCTTTCAGAAAACCTGATGATCTGATTTTTGTTATATTGGCAATGAGGACCAGTAGTCTGTAAACAGACTGTGGGAATGCTGTCTGAGGTTGTGACTAAGAATGTACCAGTAAGTACAATAACAAAACTGCACTGATATATGCCGTTAGATCATGCTAATTGTTCAAAGAAAAGGAAATTACATTTCCCTGTGGGATGCCATGATCCACAGCAACAATGACCACATCATACACATCTTGTGTCTCCCGATCCAGCTCCTCGATGGCTAGCAGAGTTCCATCCTTAAGGGAGAAAGGAAATAAATATAAATAAGAACTGAACAACTGACAATGCACTGTCATAGGTTTAGGTCCTCACATCTTTGAAGCTGAAGATATTGCTGTGTGAGTAAGTAGTGATGGCGACACGTCTGTTTTCTCCAATGTCAGAGTCTGTGGCTGATATCACGCACACCTCTCCAGGTGATGAGGGAGTGTAAACACCTTCCTGAATCTCAATGCGCTCTGGGAGAGGAAGGAATTGTGGGTTGTTATCGTTGACGTCCAGAACAGTGATGTTGACCTGAGCTGTGGAGCTTAAACCATCATCAGGCTGGTCTACAGCTATTACCTAAAGAAAACAATGCAAGCATCCCATTTAGAATGAATATTTATCCTGAACATGTTGTGAATAGTTGTGTTCAAGAGATGAATATGACAGTTTTGTACCTCAATGATGTAACTGTCTATAGTTTCTCTATCCAATGTGGCATCACTCTTGAGTGATATTACTCCTTGATTGTCGATCGTGAAGGTGTCGCTGTTCATGATAAAGAAACCTTTAGAGAACCCACCCTGATCGGAAAGGAAACAAGAAAAGGTAATTCAATCAAAACAAATTTGGAATGTTGGCTTGACAAAGCTTTACTTGGAAATTTACAAGGAGAATTTGAAAGTTGTTCAGGTCTTTTGTAGTTTAAATTGTAGTTTGGAATGTTACATATGCCTTGTATACTTGCATGACTAAGCTGTTGCTAAACTTTTCAGAGTAGTTGGTAGGGAATTTTTCCTAGGGTGGCTAACGTGTTCAGGGGCACTGCTACGGTTTCTGGGCACCCTGAACAGCATATTGACTCGGACCCCCTCTGTAGAAATTGTGTTCCAAAGGGCATGGGTTGTATCAGGCCCCTATCTGATCAGGGCCCTTGGAATCATCCTAACCATCCCCCTGTTACGGCACCCCTGAAGGTGTTACGGAGTTTTAAGTTGTTGCTAGAGTGTTCTGGGTGAAAGTTGAGTGTTGCTGAGAAGGTCCAAAGATGTTCTGAGTGGTTTCTATGCAGCTGCAAGAATGACGAGTCTCAGCAACCACTCAGGACACCTCTGCAACCGCTTAAGAGGATGAATATAGAGTGTTGCTATATGGTTGCTCATGTTTTTGAGGTGATTAAATTGCTTCTAAGGTTTTCTGGGTGGTTGCTAGAGGCATTGCTAGGCAGTTACTACATAGGCTTTACGGGAGGGGTTAATGGGGGGTTTCTCTGCAGTTACTACATAGACTTTAGGGGATGTTGCCAGAATACCATAAGTTTGTGTCTACTTTTCTTACCTCATCCTCATCTGAAACCTCCAAAGATACCAGAGCAGTTCCACCTGCAAGGTTTTCATAGACGGACACATAATACTGGTCCTCCTTACTGAACACAGGAGCTTTATCGTTCGCGTCCTCAACCCACACCGTTACAGAAACACTGCCAGTGTGAACAGGGTTTCCTCCATCTCGTCCCTCCACCTCTAGAGTGTACCTCTTAGCTTTGCCATAATCCAGCTTTTCAGCTAGGTTTATGGAGCCAGACCCTTCATCAATGGTAAAGACGAGTGGTGTTGAAAAAGGCTCCTGTTTGACAATGTGATAAGTCACGATAGCATTTTCACCGTCATCTTTGTCTGTCGCCATGACGTCTATGACATTTGTTCCTACTTCTGCATGCTCGGACACTGTGGTCTCATACTGTTGTTTGGAAAATATGGGAGCATTGTCGTTGATGTCAGTCACGGAGATTTCCATAGTGGTGGTAGCGGAATGTGATGGGCGACCCTGATCTTGGGCAGTGATTACTAAGCTGTACTCATCCTGGGTCTCCCTGTCAAGCGGAGCTGCTAGAGTTATCACTCCTGTTTCTTGGTCAACACTGAATCTCCCAGCACCTCCCAGGAGAGTGTATCGCACTTCACCATTAAACCCTGAATCTGCATCTGTGGCTGTTACGGATGTTACTTCATCTCCCACCTTGTGATCCTCTGGTACTGGGACAGTAGCAGGGGGAATTTCAAACTCTGGATTGTTGTCATTGATGTCCAGCACCTCAACCAGGACTGATGCAACATCCCGGTTAGTACCATCCGTTATCGACACCTGCACAGTGTAGCTGCTCGTCTCCTCAAAGTCTAGTTTGGCTTTGGTCGAGAGAACACCTGTATCCTGGTTTATTGAGAACTTGTCAGCTTCACTCTCAACAGTTAAGATGACAGGAACTATAGGTTCAAGGGACAGGAAGTCAACCTGTAAATGAGAGAGTCCACATTGGTCCATGATTAGACTATTTACCTTTGTTACAGTATGTGAGAACTCAAAATTGATTAACATTTAAAGAAATGCATGCTATATTCTAAGTCTTCTGGTTTTCATTATATAATGATTCCTTCAGTCTGTTCCTCACACAAAGCTGTTGAATAACTTTAGAAGGCTTGGAATATAGTGCATAAGCCGTATGGTCCTTTTATGTCAGTAGCTGCTCCTGGAGAGCTACTGTCCTGCAGACTTCAGTTCTAACCCTGCTCCAACACACCTGCCTGTAATTATCAAGCAGCCCTGAACACCTTGATTAGGTCGGAGTTTAAATCTACAGAACGGTAGCTCTCCAGTAGCAGGGTTGGAGACTGTGTATTCCACAGAAAAAAAAATGTGTTTGAAACAATATGAGGGTGAGAAAGTCATGACAGAATTTTTACATTTACATGTTTTTTGAGATATGCGACTGTACTCCTAAACCCTGGATGGAGCTGTGACACATGCTAAATTTAAAGTAGATTGGACTAATGAATTCATTTTAAAGCCTCGTTTCAACCGAGCAGTATGGTTCAGTACAGTGCAGTACGGTACGCAATTACTTCTGTTTTCATTGTCAGAAGTTGTGAATAGTACCAAAATAGCCAACCGCTACAAGGGGAATGAAATGAAGTGTCTCCTTCACTCGTTCTGCCATGCTGCTCATGCGTGTTGGGCTTGTTTACATCGGAGTGTGCAAACGCTAAAATATAACAGTATATTTTAGAATTGTATATTTTCACACACGTACACGCAGACAATGTTGTACTTTCTTCTTTGCTCGAGAATGACGTCCATCGTTACTTTCCAGCATAGACCACACCTATCAAGTAAAGGCGGTTGGCGGTGGAAATGCAAGCCAGATCAAGGTGTACCATCCCGAATCATACCGTACTGTACCATACCGTACCGCTCAGTGGAAACGAGACTTTACAAATAATTTCATATTTTTTCCTGTTATGGCACCACCAAGTGGCCAAGCTCTGCTATTTTTTGCATGTGTCCTCAGACTGAGCCCATACATAAGTGTACCAAGTCTGGTGAAATGATCTTTTCGTGTTTTTTGTTGTTGTTGTTAGTTTAGATGGTTGTAATTCAGTAGACTATTATTATCATCAAAGGCTTTTATATCATTTACAGAGACAGTGCTTTGGAAAAGAAGCTCTTATAAGGAAATCTCTGTTCGTGCTGTAAGGACCTTCACGATGTCTGCGTCTGCCTGATCCTCCTCTACTTGTCCCTGGTAGGTGTCCCGAAGGAACTGAGGATGAGACTCTCCAGGTGCCTTGACATTCACTATTGCAGAAGTTGATCTGCTTATAGCACCCCCTAATGGTATGAAAAGAAAGTGCAGTGGTTTTTAAGTCAAAAATTATGCATCCATCAAATGTCTGCCAAAACACCTAGATATGAAAACTTACCATCTTTTGCAGTCACATAGAGTGCAAACTCAAGGATTGTATTGTCCACCAGGTCAATTTCTTTAACTAGTGTAATCTCCCCATTATTCTCATTAATTACAAAATGACCTTTCTCATTTCCAAACTCAATGGAGTAGTGGATTTCCCCATTTGGACCTTCATCCAGGTCTGCTGCCTCGACCTTACATGAACATGTATGTATGTATAGTTAGTATACAACTTCTTTCCAGCGTTTATGGTATATTAGTCATCTTATTATGACATTACGGTTCCACAATCTCTGAAAATGTACTAAAGTATTGATTGTGCTGGAAAACATTTAAATGACTCAACAAAACAATGATTCATCACCTTGACAACCTGCATTCCAGCAGTCTGGTTGCTGAAAACTTTGCCCTCATAGTTGGAAGTTGTAAACTGTGGACTGTTGTCATTCTCATCCAGCAAGACAATGGTCACATCTGCTGTTGCTTTGTCGGTAGAAGGAGGGCTTTCTTGTGCTTCAACCTTTAGATTTTGAAAACAAAATTGGTGTCACATAATTTTTCGTTGCACAGAATGCATAATCAAATTTAATGATAAAATGAGCCTTATTGTTACTTGAAAACTGAAGCTAACTGTGGTCTCTCTGTCTAGGTCCACTGAGCTTTTCACCAGAATTATTCCATCAGGGCTGATTGAAAAAGGGACAGAGTCTGGAATAATCCGGATTGTTCCCACAAATCCTCCCTGGGATGAAAGAGGTCACCTAGTAAGTTTTTTTTATTATTTATTTGTACAAAGAGACAGTGAGGTTTTCAGGAACAGTACCAGGTCTAGATCAGTGACTCTAGTCTGAAGCACAAACTGGTCCTGTGGTGAATTTTCCAGAATAGACACCGTGTACTCATCCTGCTCAAATTTTGGCGGGTTGTCATTCACGTCTTCAATGGTGACAGACACCACAGTGTTTGCCGTCGTACTGGCATCGTCCCGCTGAGCTGCCTGTTTTTACAAGGAAACATTGATGAGAAAACATGAAGAATCAAAATACTGAAATCTCTTCAGATTCATAACATCATCTTTTTAAATGAATGACTTTAGAAACGTGCTATACCTGTATGTAAACCGTTATCTGGTCAATTTCCTCTCTGTCTAGTGCTGTTGTCACGGAGATGACTCCACTGTTTTGGTCAATATTAAGGTTGCTCTGATATTCATTTGGAAAGACTGGAACAAGAATGTGGATATGTGTGCTTTATTACCAGAAACTTAATTCAGAGTATTCAAATGCAAGTATATTATAAGTACTTGTTATTTTGTACTTGTGTTTGACTCTTCCCACATGAAAAAATTCTATAGTAATTTATAGTAAATACTACACTCTAAAAAAATGCTGGGTTAAATACAACCCAGTGCTGGGTAAAATAGGGACAGACCCAGCAATTGGGTTGTTTTGACCCAGCGGTTGGATTAAATGTTTAACCCAACCTTCTGGGTAGTAACCCAACCGCTGGGTCAAAACAACCCAATTGTTTGGTCTGTCCCTATTTTACCCAGCACTGGGTTGTATTTAACCCAGCATTGTTCATTGTTGAACCACTATAGTAAAGTGTATTATACTGTATATATTATAGCATTTACAACACTTTAATGAATGCTACAACGTACTGTAGTATTAACTATAGCGAATAATACGCTAATACACTGTAGTGTATTGTAGTATAATATACCCTATAGTTGTAGAAAACTTAGTATTGTATTGGGTAAAGTAATTGTTATATTATCACAGCAACTATAGAATTACCACAACAAATTAATTCAAGTACTTTACTATAGTATGGTTCAAAAACACTATAACATTTGCTATAAATTACTACAGTAGTTCTTCATGTGGCTTGTTTGGTGGATTTTTATATCCCTCCATATTATCAGACTTAAAATGAGTCTTTTCACCTCTAGCTTTGCCACATTTAGTGAGAAACTTGGAAACAGGTGGAGGAGGTTGTTTAGATTTGGACATATGTCATGTAGTGTGTTATCAGCACCTGCTGTTATGCTGTAAACGACAGGCTCGTTGATGCCTGTGTCGCCATCTTGAGCTTTTATGGCCTCAGGAGTGACGTCTGACAATTGCCCTGCCTGTGCATGAACAGAAAAGAGGGTTTTATTTGTGTGATCAGACGTGTTTTAAGCATGGATCTTCTCCTCTGACGTTGTTTACCTGATTTTCCTCAATAGATGCTTCATAGAGACTGTGATCAAAATAAGGGTTTAGGTTGTCAAAGTCTTCAACCGTTATTGTAACTGTTGTTGTGTCACTGAGTTCTCCTTTATCCTGCAAAGACACATTGTGTTGTGTTACTGCTTTACATGGGGGGGGGGGGGGGGCGTTGGGGGGTTTGGG